CCCCTCCCCCAAAAAAAAAACCTAGAAATTTCCCAAAAACCATTTTTTTTTTTTTGCTTGAATTAATTTTTTGAAAATTGATTTCGAACTTGAAGTTTTCGATTTCTTGTGAAATCGAAAGACAAGAAATCGAAAGACATTCAACTCATATCGTTTTGGAGACTAAAGAGGTTGCCAAAAAGAGGCTATGGCATCAGAAAGTATACACTTGAGTTCAAGATCCTTTAATTCTTTGTATTGTCATGTTTGTATGTTGGAACTTTGGATTTTGGAGCTCTGGAATGCAATTGAAGTTTTTGGGTAGTGGAATGTGTTGAAGTTGAACTTGTAAACTTTGAAGTAATGTTCGAAATGCTTATGGATGTACATTTATGTTATGTGACTTTGTATTTTTGCTTAAATGACTAATTGAAGTCAAATTTTGGACAATTTTAAAATTTTATATTTTTAAACATGTAAATTTTAGCTTATAAGTAATTAGATCCCAAAACTGAAAACCCCACAACCCCACTTTTCTCCCCAAACCCCTAACCACAAAAAAATGCCTACATAGTGGTTGGTCGATGCCCTGGGCGGCCGCCCGCGTTTTCTTGAACATTGATCAAAAGGAATAAGGTCCCAAAATAATTCCCACAAATTCTTAATGTCAATTCAGACTGGCCAACTCATCAGCACTTACTCCAGATTTTATAGCTCATTCAAATGCAAATTACATTGCAGTCCAACGGGTCCATCACCAAACTACCACAAATGTAATATAAAAGCCTTCCTTTTGAATCACCATATATTCCTAGGAAAGCAAGTATACCAATTACAAATTGCATCCATGAGATCATGACAGTGATCAAAGTTGAGATCTCACGATCAGGATGTCTTCTTCACTTCTTCCACTCTAGCGCTGATTATGTCATTAAAGATGCCCAATTGTCCATGTCACCTACGCAATCACCACATGGGTATGGCCTGGTCAGTCATGTAACAATGACTACATAATTGCCTTTGCTTATTTTTCTTTGATCATCTAGTGAACCCCAGTACTAAACTGCCACACTAGGGATGTTGGAGATATGTTTTTCTTTTGTATTTTAATAAGTCACTTGATTTCAGCAAATAGTTACATCCAAAATACAAGACAGAATAAATTTGGAGTCAGAAAATTAACAATCCGTACGTCACAGTCCTCATAGCCAGTAGCAATTTTTGGTGTTTTTGCAATAACGGAATTGCTTCAAGTAGGACGATGTGTCATCACTTGACATTTCTTATGAGTAATGACACCTATAAACCTATCAAAGGAACGGTTCGGATCGTAATCAAGTTGTGTCAATCCACCGGACTAGGGTCCAGGTCCAAGTCCATCTTCTAGACTTAGTCAAGTCAAGGGTCAAAAGAACAGACCCAAATATTTCTAGGATCAAGTCCAGGTCAAGGTCTACTCAACCCAACCGACTTGGGTATTCACGCATTTTTTATATACACAAAATATTCTACACATTTTAAAATAAATTGATTATAGAATATAAATTTATTTTATTGTGATTAAAAAATCCTTGTAATATAAATTATATTGTAATTATACTTTTATAATTATAAGATTTCATTTGTATAATTTATATCCCCCCTAATTAAAATCCAAAAACTTACCCCTAATTACTTCTCTCTAGCTTAATTAAAAAAGCCAAAAAACTAAACCCAGAAACTAAACTCTAACTTTCTCTCTCTCTATCGGCAAATGTATTAAACCCATGAACTCATGGAAAGTCCTAACTTTGATTAAAACACCCAAAACTTAAAAACCCCAAAATTAATCCCATTGAACACCCCCCACTAACAGGGAACGAACAGAGGACTAAGAGAAGAGAAAAAACCCTAACCCTAGCAAACCCTGTCTCTCTTTCCATCACTTGTGGACTCTGCAAACCTCAAAATAATCAAGCTCGAAGCGTCAATGATTAGATCTCCATCTAACAATGTATCATATTCAGAGAAAAGTCAAAAGAGGTAACCTCTCTCTCTCTCTCT